GTGAAAAGCTGAATTTGCAAATTCCGTAAAGAAAATTTAGCATTACTCTGTAAGGATTTTAGCTATAATTACCATCGGTGTTGTTTTGCTGAAAAAAAGTTAAAGCTTGAAGGAATCAGTTTTAATTAGCGTCTGACCCTCTATTAGGCACAAAGGCCTAGAAATGCCTTTATTGCCAATTTATTTATATGCCACGGTTAATGTACAAGCGGTGATAAGGAAGATCAAATCCAAAGCAGATGATAAAACTCAGAATAAAATTAATTTGGTTTTGAAATCAGCCCTTAATGTATTCAACAGCTGTAGCTGATGTGAACGCAAGGGTATACTAGAAATATGAAACTTCGATATCCGGCGACCCCTTATTCTTGCAAAAAAAACGAGAAAGGGCGGGAATATAGAAACCAACTTTAGTATATCGCCGCCGAAACGATCGCGGTGACAAGGACAATCGGCGATTATGATGAAATTAACCAGTAAAAAAACGCTTTATTGCCGACTTTTAAATGTTTCTATTAATTTCCAAATGGAGTATCAAGCTCCGACGTTCTGGATCCCTGTTATGTATTAAAAAAAATATTCAATATTCGACTATTCGGTATTAAAAATATTCAAATTATTCGATTCGAAAAAAGAATCAATTTTGCCCACCCTAACCTAACAGCCATTTAATTTGGCTTTGATTCCTAATAAGTTTGTCTAAGCGGCTCGTAATCGTGGAGAATGCAAGGTGCAGAAGCTGCTTGAGATGATCGCCAGATATTTCGGGATTATTTTTCGATTACTGGAACAAAATTAAAAAGCTCTAGAAATTAAAATAATCATCGAGTGATTTGATTTATACATAATATTCGGGAATGCGACAAAAACTGAAAATCTACGAAAGCAAGCTAATGATTACAGTCGGTGACCGTACATTTGAACCCATGTACATTTGAACCCATGCGTTTATCCACGGGTTCAATCTATATGCGGGTGCTAAAACCCATGGGTTAGGGTTAGTATGGGTTTAACTATCCGTGAAACAAAAAAAATCCCATAGGTGCAATATCATACAGGTGCAATTGTCATGGGTTCAAATGTACGTGGGTTCAAATGTAATGGAACCATTACAGTCATGTCTAAAAATCTTTCCAAGTGTCCGAGTGGCCGCGAAAACGCTTACTATTGCGTCACTTTGGCATCTTGTATGTTAGTCAACGCTACGCAAATAAACACGGGGGAATCCATTTGACTAACTCAGCGTTTCCCAAACTTTTTCGGCCACGGAACACTTACACTTTTTATCTCGCCTCGCGGAACACTAAAAAATGAAAGGGTAAAATTGATAAAGAAAAACGGTGTAATGTAGCGGTTCCTAATGGGTTCGTCGTGGCGAGTTGCCAAATGCACCGCAAAAACTAACAGAATTATGTTGAACATACCTAAAATATGATTGAATATTTTACATATTTCATTTATTATAAATGTTTTATTGTTTCTCAATTTGAATGCTGTGTATATGAATCAACAAATTCATTTTACCTTTCTATATCGTTTACTTTCCATTACGTAGTGTTTGCCTCTATAATGTTACGTCTAATGGAGATAGAAGTACTTTCTGCAACTTCGCGAGCTGCAGTTTATTTATCTGCTGAATCGAGTTTAGCGAACATGAGTAATTTTTTCAGCATTTCAGAGTAAATTCAGACAGAGATGACGGAAGAAGAGTTGACCATTTGCCTTTATTCTTAAGACCTACCTGTTTGCCAACAGCGAAACCAAAAGGATTGCTGCAAACTTGATAATGAACTTAACAGTCAAAAAGCTAGACCGACGGTTAATGAATATGCCCCTACCCTACCTTAGTTAGTCCGTTTTAGGCCAACGGTGACACGATATCAAACGGTCAGTTGGGCGACAGCTTCACGATCCCTAGATCGCCATGGCGACCCATTTAGACGTATTTTTGATTTATTTTCCACGGAACACTCGGAAGACGCTCGCGGAACACTAGTGTTCCGCGGAACACAGTTTGAGAAACGCTGGACTAACTAATAGACTTCCACATTTTAATTTCAAGTCAATATATGAAAAATTTTCTTTGAAAGTAATTAATTTTTAAAGAAATAATAGGAGCCACAGGGAAGGTCGCATGCGGCTCTCAAACCCTAGTTTGAGAATCACTGGTGTAGGCCGTAGGGGAATCGCTAGTCGTCATATAAAACAGATTCGTGATACCTCAATAACAGTTCTGTAAATTAGTTTGTCTCTCATCATCGGATCTGCAGATTCGATACCATCATATCTTCAACAAAACAACTGTTCTGCATTGCAGAGAATTTCAGGTGGCGGAATGGGTACATCCCATAATACATTCCGTAATCATCGGAATATTACTTCTTGAAAATCAACACAACCGAAATCGAATGCGCAATGAATATTTGACCTCTGCTGGTGCTTCCTTGAACATTTCAAAACCCATCTGATTGAAAACTTACCAGTGCAGGTAATAACATTGATTAGTTTAAAACATAGAAGAATTATGTAGCATTTTGTTCCAGATTTTTGGTACAGATGAATGATGATTGGGTCTCATGGAGTTAGACATGGTTATGCAATAATTTGAATTGGATGCTCATATTCGAACATTGAAACTTTTTCTTGAGGCAAACAGAAATTCTTGGATGTTGACAAAATGTAAGCTTTGGAGGGCAGTGGTAAGGCAACACCAACACAAATCAAACAAGATTATAATAGAAAACAAGAGAGCTATGCTCAAATATATGGACACGTAGAGTCACATAATTTTGATGTCGTCATAGCGAAAAAAAAAAGTAATAGCCTTCTGGAGAAAATTTTTATCTTTAACCACTGAAAATTTCAAAGCAATTGGTCCAGTATTCGAAGAGAAAAGCGACTTTTTAAAAACGTGTCAAAGAACAAGAACAACAACAACATAATATTGAAACGATCGTTATGTCCACTACGTGTCCAATAATTGTGATCGACTTACATTTACCACGGCGACAGGATCACGAGCAGGGCATATCACATCCGTGAATGGTGGTAGCGTGAGACTCTCACAGTGGATATCGTACTGGGAACATCGCTTTACCATCAGAAGAAGATGTTGAAGACAAAGCGTGATTTCTTCAGATACATCGATTAAAATGTTCATGTGCGGTCTCGACCTTGTCCCTTTTTGTTGTATAGTTCTCAACTCATTGCTTAACAGTATAATTCATAATCTATATGCTATGCAATGTGGGTGTCTCATAAATGTCGTGTCCCACTGCTCCCACGTTTCTCTATTTGTGCCACATGTACCGCTTGTTCTATTTGCCGAACCAACTGTCCCACGTGTCCCACTTGTCCCATTTGCCGCCCCAAGTGTCTCACTTATCCTACGTGTTCGACTTGTCTCACACTTCGATAACACAGACACTAAAAAAGCAAGTGAGAATGGTTTATGGTGGATACTGTGGGTGCAGTTTCAATCCGCCATGGAAAATAGGCCCGCCAATGCCAAGGTAGGAGGAGAAAATCTAGTAATTTTTGTTTCTGAATTAAAAATTATCAGTTGTTGTACTCTTCGTAATGGAGATTGAACACGTATCACAAACACACGTTTGTTTTCGAGGATGGCTTTGTTTTGCTTTTCGTCTTTCCCAATGTCAGAATCCCCAGTTAATTAGACATCGTTGCATAATCAGGAGGTTATTTTCATATTTGACTCCTATCATAACTTTTTACTACGGTAATGTTAATGCTAACGCCGGGTTTTAGGTTTTGAATTTGAAAGATAACTTACGCTCATATCAATTAAACACTGTATTTTGTGAAAACGAATTCCATAGAGCCCACAGAAATTTTTGAAATAAATAAAAGCAATAGCCTTCTAGCAAAAAATACAAACTTTTATCACTGAGAACTTTAAAGCAATTGATTTAAGGAAAGCGATAAACGAAACTACTTGCTATACCAATGAGAAAAACATACCAAGAGGAAAAATGACAGCATATTAAAAATAGAGTTATGCTAAAATATGTGGAGACGGAGATCAAAATGAAATATTTTATCAACTATTCTCCGAAACTCATACCTGTATGCGGTAACTCACCGGTACGGTACCGGTAATCAGGGTACCGGTAGCGGTACAGGATCTGTTCTAGCTTCTCCAGGTCCTGTGGCGGTGATCCATTTTTCATGATTCAGTTTCAACATGAGTCGAAATACCAACTGATCTGAGTCACTTCTGTATTACCAAATCAGGTAATGCAGTCTACCTTTCCCCATGAAAACTTTCCACTTTCGCTAAACACGAGATCCGCTTGCGTTCGCTGACCACGAAATCAGCTGACATGAGCAACCGCCACAAGGTGTGCTAATTTTAATGACGTCATTGCAGAAAAAAACGAATCACATGGAGCTCAAAGGAATATTTCAAATAAATAAAAATAATAGCTTTCTAGCAATAAATTTCACGAAGTTCGCGTTTTGGATCCGTGTTGTCAAACAACAGATTCATCTTAGAGACGGGTTGGAATCATGAAATTCGAAATATACCAGCAACATGTTTTCACCTTCAGAAAACCATGCCGTACCTATAACCCAATGGCTATACGTCATATTACTAATGTAGACTAATTCACGACGTAAGTTACATTACCAATATATATAGGGTTACCATATTTTTGGACTTCAAAGCGGGACGCCTACAAAGACCGAATTTAGATTTTTTCATATACAGCAAAACGAATAAAGAATAATGAAATAGTCTGCCATTTTCAAGCATTGGTCATTACTTATTCGCTAAGCTTGCTTCTTCTTTAGATAACACCTTCAAAACGACGTTGCTCAATGTTATATTCACGTGAACGTCCGAACAGGACCAATTAGAAATGATTTTACATGTGTTACGTTCGCTAACAATGTTAGCGGGAAACAACGAAACAAACAAAATAACGCATTCACCTTCAGTAAGTAGACTAGCGTTGCGATACACAGCAACAGCAGTAACGAGAACATGTTCGTGTATTATGCTGGATGGCTGAACGCAAAAGCGGGACTTTTGGTTGACTTGTCGGGACGGTGGGACAAGACGCTAAAAAGCGGGACTGTCCCGCCTAAAGCGGGACGTATGGTAAGCCTTATTATATACAATGTATTATATTATATATAACATAACTTAATACACAATTTCAGAAATCCCAATATAGCGTTAGTCGCCAGCTCAAGATTGGGTTCACTGATTAACAGGGTTTTCTAAGTATGAACCCGTGCAAACCCCCATCACTGGTTGGGGCTACGATAGGCCTTACATGAAGATCTGCTTCCGCGTCCGGAGCTTGTCTTACATAATTCCTGAATGCAGTGTAATGGGTTATATACACTCAACAGATGTAAATTATTAAACAAAACTCGTATGACAGTATTGATGTAATGAAGTAATTTGTTAAATTAATATATATATATATATAATAGTTAAAATATTTGTAATTTCCCCCTAATTTCGTCAAAAATATGAATTCATTCTGGTGCTATCCAAATATTTAAGTCAATTTTGGTAACATCGGATCGGTGTCAATTTTGGTAATATTGGATCGGTGTCAATTTTGGTATTATGATATTTCCGGAATGAAAACAAAAGGAATATTTGAAATACCTCTGAGTTCAATTATAACGGTCTTTCAAACCACAACCAGGGCATCGTCAGAATTGCAGCATTCACATTTTCATGCTAACGAGTAAAATCATAACGTATTTTTTTAAATATGAAATATATTGACACGCTCTGTGCTTTTGCTGTAAAATGTGTATTGGGCCGTCAAAATAAATAGTGATGATCAGACAATGCATTCATTATTTGCCTAAATTTGTGCCAGTGCATAGTTGCCTGATATTTTGAATTTGAGTATGCAACAAAAAAAATAGAACAATAACACTCTTGAAATATTATTTCTTTCATCAGTTTTGGTTGACCTTTATCCTCTTCATATAAAATTCGGACATAAGCAAAAAAAATGTTAAAGAATTTATTGAAAATTATTTAAAACATATATTAATTTGCTTGCCCTCAACAACGTTTAAATAAATTTCAGTATAGTCTATTCTGTGTGTCATTGGGACAAAAATGTCTTTTGAAAATTAATATTTGAAGGTGAATATTAAAAGTTATAAAAAAAATGCGCAGAAATATTCAAATCATAAGTTATACCATTTTTTTTTGAATAAATGGGAATGCATTGTCTTTTTAGACACAGTCAGGTATGATGAAGGTGAATACATTAGAAATAAGAACATTATAGCAAGAAATATGTTTAAATTTTGAGATGGAAACAGATAATTTCCCTAAAATATATTTTATTTTATTATACACAGCAGTCGAAGTGATTGTTCGGTTAAAGCCCTCTCTATTCATAGCCTATGTACAATTGATACTTTATATATAAATCACATTTACCAAGTTACTTATTCAATCATAATGAAAGAAGAATACAAGGTACGTTATTTTTAATTTAAACATAGGTTTTGATATTTCACGTTACTTTGGCAAGCTTCATCAACTATTTGCCTTTATATTTACTTGATAAAAGTACGCTACATTATGCACAAAATTTGACAAAGAAATAAATTAACTACTGCTTGTTTGAGAAAATTTTGTGAAAATTTGGGATTAGTATGTGACGTTACAGTCAGCGGAAAGTACAATATTAATTAATCAAATTAATTATAAGAAACAGTTCTTATTTTGTAATCTTTGTAATAAATTTATTCTAGATTTTCAATGTTTGAATTTTTATTTAAGTTAAAGAATTATTAACGTGCCTTCATATTATTAACTGTAGAATTTATCAAAAATATTATAGTTGATATAAGTAAACCTATAAAAAACTATATATACGATCTGTTCTATATAAAAAACAAAATTACCAGAGATAAATAAATTTTAACGGTTTTATGCCCAGTTCTGTCCGTTTTGGCGCATCAAATACACGTGTTCCCCATTCTGATTGTTTGTTACGAGTATACACAAAGTTATCATAAGAACCCAGCTATAATGTACAAATAACTTACTTTAAAGTGTGATTGAATGAACTCTAATAAAAATTTATTTACAGAATTCGTGGTATTGCACGTTCGTCCTCAACGCGTCCATATTTCCTACCGCTTTTATGATCGCTTATTCGATATCATGCCTAAATCCACTGGTTCCAGTTATTCATCGCATCTACAACTCAACGTATGAAGTAAGTCGTGTTTTTTATGTGAAAACCTATTACCATCTATATTTTAGTGACTCTATCTTTTCGGTTAAAAAGTTGAGAAAACGCGAGTTGTGGAAAACTGAGTAACCGCAAAATATTCCACATCCTTTTACATATCCAAAATTAAATGGAGACAATCCTCTACAATAAAAATAAAACAGACGCGGTCCGAATCGATAACCTGAAAGGTCCGAATTCGGACCGCGGTCTGCCAGTTGAGTATCCCTGCGTAGTCTACCGTACGTACCCTAATAAAACTGAAAGACCCGACTTTCGCCAAGCACGAGGTCCGCTGACATGCGGCTGCGGAACCTTTCCAAGTAATATTAATTTTTAATGTTGATGACGTCACCACAAAAAACGTAAAACAGAAAAAAAAACGTAATAAAGCAAAGCAATTGGTCGAGTAGTTAATGAGAAAGTGTTTCATAGCAACAAAAAGAAATATACAAAATGACAAAACAATTCATAGGATCACTTTGATTACAATAAATAATTATAATTTGACAAGCAGGATTTCGCATTCCAAACTAGAGTTTTCTTCTACATTGGGCCATTCAAGCTGCAATGGAATTCTGTAACATAGATTCACAATATGGATCGAAATATACCTTGTCGCCAAAAATTATTGCACATTTAATAATCTTTCATATTTCAGAAACAACATGGCGATGCCCTGCCTGACGACACGTGGACTCTTTTGCTGACTCTAACGATGTCGATGTTGATGATTGGTGCTTTTGTTGGTTCTATGGTTTTCAAAATATTGTTGAATTATTTAACAAGGAAACGAATCTTGATATTAACTCATATTTGTTCGGCGACTGGATATCTGATTGTTGCAGTTGGAACAGGAAAATGGGGGTCGTCTGAGGCCTTTATTACTGGTCGATTTGTTACGGGACTCGCGCTTGGGCTCGGTTTGAGTGAGTATATTTGTTGAAATGTGATTTTTGATTTATTTTATCCATCTATATTATCAAACTGTTCTAATGTATTAAATTGTCCATGATGCAATACATAGCCTCAAAAGAAACAAATACTAATGATAATTTTTTCTTTTCATTACATGCATAACTTGAAAATTAGTATTTTCATTTTGTTATCTATTATCTAAAGTCTAAACTAAAGTGATGGGATTTGCAGGCATTGCAAAGTTTTGGTTTTTGTAAGTTTCCATTTTTTCTAGGTTTACGAAACAATGAATGATTATGTAAAATATCGCCTTTATGATGCATGAGCACCAACGCTTCAATTAACTATCAATTTCCTTAAAATGTGTTTACTAAATATATATTGCGAAGCTAAAAATTTCTTTCTCAGTTCACTTTAAAAGCGAAACTCTCATATTTTGAAAATTTTCGGTTTAAGTAAACAAAGGAATATGCCACGTAATGAAATTATCAAAACTTCTTGGCGATGATAAATATACCTATAAATATCGCATTTATATTTATAATAAATGCTTCAAATGGGCGCTCGATTACGTTCGAAAATGATATACAATTACCAGGTCGCGTAACAATTTCAATCTGTTATGAAGTCAGTTTTCAGGTTTGTTCTATTTTAATCAGTGTTTGGTTAATTTTTTTACTTCATTCAATACGTCTGAAGGGACCAACAAACTATATGTGGTATCGATAAATTTACTTCGCAATTTGAAAAAAAAAATTACCACTTTTTGAATAGACTTTTCCCTGGCTCCAAGTTCACGTACGTGTTTACCGAAAAAATGTGCTGAATAGCAAAATTCTGCGTTGTCAAAATATTGCGTGCACAACCTTACAACTCAATAAACATTTTTTTAAATTAGTGATTGATAAAGCAAAACCGAAAGCTTTTGGGCGGCCGTTTCGCTTAAAATCGAAAATCTGAGATTTTCTTACATGTTTCATTCACATTTTTTCATAATTTGCAATGCACTTATATGCCCTTTATTCTTATAGGCGTAACACCATTAATTTTCAACGAATCTTGCGTTCCACATCGTCGCACATTTTACGGTGGTGTTTTCGGGACATGTACTGCATCTGGAGTGGCAATCGGAATCTTTTTTGCGTGGCCAAAGGTAAAACTCACCATCATAACTATTTCAAATCTTCTATATTATTTATAGTAAAATAATATAGAACATCTACGAGTGATACACATAGAAAAATTTTATCTACAAAATGATATCTGTGATATTGCGTAAGCTTGAATTATGTCTTACTTTCAGATATTCGGCACGGATGAGCGATGGCTGGGAGTATTATTCGTGTGTATGTTTTTTTCAGTCGTTTATTTTGTATGCTCATTCTGGATTATAGAAACGCCTCTACAAGCGTTTATTTCGCATGGAGAAGGAAGAGCGTTGGCGGTTCTTCGGAAATTGCGCTATGGGACCGAGGTTAGTTGTGCTGAATTGGGGAGTCACGTGTTATTACATAACACGCTAAATCCTATATCTCATAGGCTTCAGTGAGAAAATTACAATGTGCCGGTAGTCGTTAGCTGCGGTACACGTTACGCTTTTGCTGCGGTTGTCTAACGTCTGGAACAAAAGCGAGTTCGCCGATTACCACGATTTAACAAGAACGTGTGCGTGCCAAGTTTGCGCGACCCCACGAATTCCACCACTGCTGCCTACGCGATTCCACACTCGAACCAGAGTTATAACGTGGTAAAATCGTGGTTGATATTGTCACATCATATATATAGCGCAATTCTTCTTTTACATCGACTTCGTCTATGTGACACATGTTCGACTACATTTTAGTATTTTATGTCTAGAGTAATTTTATCACTTTGCAGTTTCAAATTTGATTGTTAGCTTGATTAAATTCCGGTTGAAGTGCATATATTAAAAATACTCCAAATATTATGAAAAAATCAGTGAGACACTTCAAATATCTTACTATGTAACATTTGATTTGGGGAGACACAAAATGGAAATATGATACATGTTTACTTAAAATTCAGACCGATTTGAACGATGAGCTGAAGGATCTAGCCGCAAATGGCGATTCAGATGACAATACAAGTTCAGTTGCCACATTCATGGAAGTGATAACAACTCCACAATACAGGTAGGCCTACTGACTACATTGCATTGAACGGCGCGAAATTAATGAATAAAAAAAAGTTTTTATGCCGAACAATGTTCTTCTGTACAAGCGTTAATTGATACGCGTCACTATTTTTAGACGCATCATTCCATCCCTACAGTTAGACATTGCCTATCCAAAGTATTACTATACCTCGATTGAATTGTTAAGCTGAAGTAAACTTACAGTATTTTTGAAAACTTGGGGACATTTTTTCAGTTAAAAATTAACATAATAGACATATGGATTGAGATATTGTATTCGAAGCATTCGCTCTGTAGTTGATCTTTAATGTATCTGACGTATTAAGCGCAAAATATATTTCAATATAAAACAAGTACTGCTGTTATCAAGTAAATAATATTTGAGATGCAAATATTTCGAAAAAATTGCATTGTGTAACGTAGAGGTAATATGGAAGTTAAGCGCAACGTAACAAACATGTATTGATTGGTATACCATCATTTTTGGTATACTTTTTCCGTTCCTATAGAAGTATATATGTGTACCAATATGGAGGTAACTAATTTTTTCGCCTATTTTACATCAAGCTGTGTAAAGGGGCGCAAGCCTATGGACAGGGGTATATTCACATGGCTAACATAGACAGTAATAGAACTAAAATAAGGAAATCCGAAATTAAATTGTGGCCTAACCCTAACCCGGTACACATACTACGCGAGTACCTTTTTGCCTATATATATTTTCTTGTTTTCAGACGTCATTTCATTGGAGCTGTTTTGGCATATTCAATCATAATGGCTTGCGGAGTAAACAATATTTTCTTCTACTCTGATCAGATTCTCGCTAACGCTGGATTAGATTCTGAAACAGTGACTCCTGCTACTTTGGGAGTCATGATTGTTGGTCCTATAGTATCTGCTCTATTGGTAAGTAGTTAATACTTTGAAAAATAAATCCAATTGCAAATATAATAACAGTTAAAGGCCTATAACCAAACTCATATTATTAATATTATTCTCCTGGTAAACAGTTTGCCTGTTGTTTCGCCAATTAAGTGATATATTGTAATATTTTTTTATTTTTCGTGGCAGAGGGATATTATTTGACAAATTTCCAGTGGAAAAAGTTTTAAAAAATGAATGTTTTCACTTATGTATCTCAGACGATATTCGTTAAACGAGGAGCCGAACCACGAATAGTTATGATAACCGGATGCACGATCATGATTTTTGGAGATGCGTTTATGACTGCATGCTTGGCAACTTATGAAGTTGTGCCAGCCATGTCCACGACTGCAATTGCTGCCGTATGCGTTTTCTACGTCGGGTAAATTGCCCTGGTGTTGAAACTTGTTTATGACATCTAAAAAATATTTCGCTTTGTTTTGTACATAATACATTTGAATAACAACTTTTGATTCATTACTTCTTATTTAATTTTGTTTCTTATTTCTTATATATAAAACATTGGCCTGAAAGTTTACGACACATCAGAAGCTACTCAACAATTGCACTTTATAGTTTATGTTGAAAAAATGAATATATAGATTTTATTATTTTCAGATTTGCAATAATTAATAATATCGCCTATGTAATGTTTGGAGCAATAACTATTGACAGAACGAGGCCTGTCTGTATCAACGTTGGAGCAGCATCTTTGTGGTTTTCCGCGTGGTTAGTTGGCTTCATAGCTCCCTACTTCGAGGTAATAATATTTAGGAAACATCATGTCTGGAAGTACTAAAGCCTTCTATTTCATCAAAACTTCAAAATGTCAGTTATGCTGCGCTAATCATGAAAAAAGTTGAAATTTGTGAATAGTTTACTCCTGGTTATTGTAAAAGTATGATTTAAATAATTCAAGTCTCATGTTGTAATATTTCTCGAAACATGTTAAACTGAACTTTTTTCAAATATTTTTTGTGTAGAGGAATTAAAATTATGTCTGTTTTTCTCTTTATTTTTCCGGGTATCTAATATCAATGATTAAGTATTTTAGTGTGCTATCTTTTTAGATATGGATTGGACCATATGGATTCCTGGTCTGGATGGTGTTGACTATCTTTGTCCTGCTCTACTCGATATTTTTTATGCCTAATGTCGCAGGGAAGACACAAGATCAAATACAAGCATTTTACAAAACCGGCCTCACAACAGCCGCAAGTTCTGTTCCCCTGGATCCGGAACTTTAATACACATGCGAAAATATTTTTGCAAGATCTTGTACATTTTACAAGAATTATGATATATATTCCGGATAATAAATAACCCAATCATAGAGTTGTTGGTGTTTATTACTTCACTCATGGCAATATTTTGACTATGAAATAATGAAAATGTTAAATACATATATATCCGTATACTCCATTATTAAAACTATAATCGTTCATTATTGCACACTTACTTAGTCTGTCTTCTTACTCAAATTGATTTGGATAAAGATCTTTCAAGATAAGAAACTGTAGGTTAAGAATAATTGCATGTGTTTATTGGCATGATAAGAGGAATTGATAGATGACCAACAACAACAGCGTATTAGCAAAACGATCCACATGTACATTTTGTATCCAAGAGAGCTCACTTCTGACAAATATGAAGAGCCAAATAAATATATTCTATGGCAGGGGTCACCAAACTACGGCCCGCGGGCCGGATCCGGCCCGCGTCGTCATTTTATCCGGCCCGCAATAACACACAAAAGTGGCCAAGTATTTTTCCAAAAATAATTTTCTCGAGCATCGTCTTCCTTGTTTGTTTCGTAACATTGGCCAATCAGCAAGATGCAAAAAAATGACGTAATAATGGGCCTTTTCGCATCCGCTCAGACACTTTCGACATCCTGACAGATTTTCAGTCGTGGTTGTAAAAAATACTTCGTTTTTGCGATTCTGAATGCTATTCGTTAGTTTCTGGTTGTGTTTGGGAAATTTAGGTATGAATCAAGTAAGTCAATCATCATTTGCCTCTTTAGGAGTTGTAGTTTTAATAGTAGTAATGAAAAACTAGTCTAAGAAATAGCTGTGACAAAATAGGCTAAAATTTTCTACCGGGAGGCAACGTTTTCTGCGAAAGATGCACTCGCCGAAACTGTATACGTCTTCGTGCTGAAATGAACGTCGAATGTGCATTTTGCGCTAACAGTACTGTAATCCCTCGCGTACTGCTCCAATTTCACAAGTCACACTAATTTTTGTACTGCTTAAATGCGGATATGTAGGTAAGTTACAAAACTGCCAAAAATGAAAACTGCTCCAGTGGATAGATCTGAGTGAAAAGAAGAAAACAATATCCAGTTTATAAAAAGCTTTTTTGATAAGAACTGTAATAAATATGAAAAAAAAACACATATCAATCACTAATCTTTCAATCTGCGTCACATCTATGGAATATTGAGACTATTTAAAGATTTTATTCTGGCAACGGTCTTGACACCGCCGAAAGTTCGTCGCAAATAAACGCTGGAGTTGTGCATGATGTTTGACAGTGGTTCTTTATGGGTAAAATTTAACGATGTTCTGATTGTACAAACTCCATAAAAATTGGTAAGTATCATGTATCAAGTTGGGAAAGGAATACACACATCCACATAAATTTTATTGGTGTCCATAGACAATATCATTAATTTGCACCACGTATAACTTGAGCCTAATTTTAAAAGCTCCGAATGTTGGGAAATTTATGCGCTAATGAATAAAAATCAAATACCAGATAATAGTTGTTTATTTTATCTAAATTATGTCGAAATTTCATGGAATTCCATGCTACAGCAGGCAGTCCGTAGTCGTGCAACGTTTTGATAACAGCTAAACTCAGGATTGTCGTCTATATATATATAGAAATCCTGTATATTTGTTTTCCTAGGATGTTCTCGATCTATATTCTGCGATATATATAGATTTTAATATTCAAGTCTTCAGAAATGTAAAATATATATTGTTGAATAAATTGAATGGATTTCCCAATTTTTGTGAATTTATTGTATTGCATTGACAAAAATATTTGTCCGGCCCGTTTCAACACAGTTTGAGTCATACCCGGCCCGCGTTCAAAAAAGTTTGGTGACCCCTGTTCTATGGTGTCATAAAACCTTAAAAAGAGTATATTTTTAGAAGCATCGACTCATATTTACAGTTAGATATTGCCTATACCCACAGTATTACTACACCTCGTTTGAATTGTTAAGCAAAAGCAAACTTACAGTATTTTTGAAAACTTGGGGATATTTTTTTAGTTAAAAATTAACATAATATATATATATAAATTGAGATATATATTGTATTCGAAACATTAGCTCTGTAGTTGATCTTCAATGTATCTATAGTATTGAGCGCAAAATATATTTCACGATAAAACAAGTACTGTTGTTATCAAGTAAATAATACTTGAGTTGCAAATGTTTCGAAGAAATTGTAATGTGTAACGTAGGGGTAATGTGGAAGTTAAGCACAACGTAACAAACATGTATTAATTGGCATACCATTATCTTTGGTATACTTTTGCCGTTCCTCCAGAAGTATGTGTACCAATATGGAGGTAACTAATTTTTTCGCCTATTTTACATATAGTTTACTCCTGGTTGTTGTAAAAGTATGATTTCAAGTCTCATGTTGTATTATTTCTTGAAACATATTAGACTGAACTTTTTTCAAATATTTTTTTGTGTAGAGGAATGAATATTATGTCTGTATCGCCTTTATTTTTCCGGGTATCTAATATCCATGATTAAGTATTTTATGTGTGTTATCTTTTCATATATGGATTGGACCATATGGGTTCCTGGTCTGGATGGTGGTGACTATCCTTGTCCTGCAATTTTTTTTTATGCCAGATGTCGCAGGGAAGACACCAGATCAAGTTCAAGCATTTTACAAAACCGGCCTCACAACAGCCGTTCTGTTACCATGGATCCGGAACTTTAATAAACATGCGAAGATATTTTTGCAAGATCTTGCACATTTTACAAGATTAGGATATTCCAGATAATAAACTAACCATAGAGATGTTGGTGGTTATCATTTCAACTTAAACATATTTATAGTTGATATTCCTCTGCCACTCATAGTACCATTTGGCCTGTGAAATAATAGAATTGTTGATTATATCTATATATTCCATAATTAAAAATATAATTGTTCATTATAACACATTTACTCAGCCTGTCTTCTTACTCAAATTGCTTTGGATAAAGATCTCTTAAGACAAGAAACTGTAAGAGTGCATACAGAATAATTACATGCGTTTAGAGGTATGATAAGAGGAATTGATGGATGACCAACAACAACAACAACATAATATCAAAATGATCCATATGTATGGCGGATCGACTCCGGAATCGATTCGTCGTGGATTCGGTTAGAATCGATTCCGATGACTTGGAATCGATTCTTAGGGTTAAAACTAGTTTTGCAAATAAAGTATAACGTTTTGTGATTCTATATGAATAAACCTCAAAGTGGACATACAGATCGTTTTGTTATTATGTTGTTTTTGTTGTTGTTGCTAGAATTCATTTTCTTGTTATCGTTATGGAAAAATATTTGTTCTCACCTACTGGAACTATTGCTTTGAAATTCGAGTGTTTAAAAATTGTAATTCTTTTTCTAGAAGGCTATTATTACGTTTATTTTATGTATTTTAAAAATTTCTGTGGGCTCTCGTCAAAGGTTTAATTTTTTGTGTGCGATTTTGTCTACTTTAATAGATTGAATGGACCTTTCCCCGACCTTTGACCCCCGAAAAATTCCTCCTATACTCTACCATTGCAGAATTTTCGGGGCTATTTTAAGAGTGCTTTTGCGAGTTGGCGCCTGTAAAATGGGGTATGTGTTTCAAACCATCATTATGATTCATCGCATACAACAATCTGTTTTTTAAAAGTACCGGTGGAGAATTTTAGCCTAGTCTATCACAGCTATTTCTACGCTAATTTTTTATTACTGCAATGAAGTTAAAACTCCTAGGAAGACAGAGTGATCATTGAATTATCTGATTTATTCTTAAGTTTCCGAAACACAACTGAAAACTAACGAATCGAGTTCAAAAACACGTAAACGAGGTAATGTTTACGACCACGCTTGAAAATCTGTCTGAGTGAGAAAAGTGTCTGAGCGTATGTTGAAAGGGAGCATTGTTACGTCACTTTTTGAATCTTGCTGATTGGTCAATGTCACGAAGTAAACATGGAAGTCGATGCTCGGGTAAAGGTCCATACCCATACTACTTGGTTTTGTTTTTCGTGCCCATATATTTGAACATCGCTCTCTTGTTCGATTTCATATGGTATTGTTTAAGTGGGTATGTTTTCTCGGTAAGCTATGTCGAGGAATCGAAAATTGGAATAAAAAATTTAGGAATTGGATAAGAATCGTATATATACTTGTAAGCAGTGTTCCTCTAAGGTGTGCGCGTGTGCGCGCGCACACAGCTTTCAGAGGCTGCGCACACGCATAGATTTACTGCGCACAGACGTATTTCGATGTAATGTAACAATGTTCTTTTTTCACCCTTTATTTGAATTCAAATAAAACCATCTGTTACAATCAATTTCATTTATTATTTTCCATGTATGTTCATTGTTATCTACTGATAACATATAGCCTTCGCTAAGCATTTACAATCTATAGAAAAACTTATTGAATAACCAAAATTTGTTTAATAAGCCCACTTATTACCCGGTTAGAACGCCAAAATTTCTTCATTGGTTTTTGCACAAATATTAGTCATTTCCAAAAAGGTGCGCACACACCAAAATTTCTGCGCACACATACTACAAAAATTAGAGGGAACATTGCTTGTAAGTAATCATATTTAGCACCCTCCACAAGTGCATTCCGTGTCCGATAGCGTCCACTACTGACATATATATATGAAGAGCCAAATAAATATATGCTATGATGTCATGAATCCTTAAAATGAGATTAAAAAATCTCAAAGTTCGCGCTGTGGATTATTAAACAGCAGATGTGGGTTGGAATGATGAAATTTTAAACTTACTAACAATAGGTTTCCATCTTCAGGAAAACCATGCCGTACTTATAGCCCAATACGTCTATACGTCATATTTTCTAATGTATGTCATTACGTAAGCTACATTAACATGAAACGTTTTACATAAATCTAATACAAAACCTGAGAAAGTCCAATATAACGTTAATCGTCAGACCGAAAACGGGTTCAGTGAATACCACGGTATTCTCATACTGAACCTTTGCGAACCCACTGAATCCCATCACTGGTTGGCGCTACGATAGGCCTTTCATGAAGATCTCCTTTCTCGTCTGAAGTAGTTTCTTTCCACCTTTTCAAAGCTTGTCTTACGTAATTTCTGTATGTAGTGTCATGTGCTACATGCACTGAACAGATTAAATTAATAAACAAAACTAATGTGACA